GGACAATACAGCAAAGAACAGGGTGGGGGAATCTTAGTGGATCTGAGTGAAACTCAGATGACTCATTAGAAAGTAAAACATTGCTATTTTGGCAAGAGGCTGAAATAGCAGTCCTGGGTTGTACTGCAGCACAGCAATAAATGGCCTTAAGTGCTTGGGACAAGCTCCTGCACACACTAATACGCCTAACAGTAGGTGCTATTTCACACTTCATTAACCAAACAGGTTTAGATAACAATTAACACATTACTTAGCAGTGTCTTTTTATAGGTGGAACTTCAGCTTGAGATTCTAATGATTTGGACAACTGTTTTGCTAGTGAAAATGAAGGAGCAATTCTTCTTAGTCAAGGTGATGAGGATTCATATCCAGAACTGGCACAGGAGAATCTCAGCCAGCTTACTGAAGGATGCCGTGTCCAAACTACAGCCTTTCCCCATGTTTTCTATACAACCAGGGTGTCCTTGTACATCTGCAGCCTGCAATCTAAAGCCTGGCCTTTGCTCTGGGCAAAATCCCAGTATTGCCAGTGGATAAACTGACCGTAAAGAAGTTAAATGCACATCCTAGTCACACAGCAGCAAAGCAAAGCAGCAAACAGTAACTCCATTTCTCTTCCCCAGGCACTGAACTATATACCTCTCCACTAGAGAAATTCCTACAATCAGATCTGTAGCAATACGACCCATACTGAAATTCTTCGGCAAATACCAAGCAACCACTGTAATTTCACGGATATAGGTATTATCTATAAGAAAATATTGCCAGGCTTTCTCAGAGCTTCACTTCTCTGTGGTACACACTGCAAGAAAGCTGTGTTCTCAGCAATGAGTAAACAGTCATCATAATATTTTTTACAGATTTTTGGCACACAAACACAGAAATACCACTGTGCTGTTTCCATACCTATCACATCACTTATAAAATACATCCAGGCTCATAAGGAACATAACACTAGCTAACTTTTTATTTAATTAGCTTTTAAAAGGTAATAATATTTTTCAGAATATTCTTTTATCCTTTTTACTTAGCAGCTGGCCCTGCTTCAAATGGGTAGTGTCTGACCGATCTCTAGATGCCCTTGCACTTTCTCTGTGATATGCCTGGAATGATAATTCTTCAGTTTTCATTTCTTAAGTGTTTCTTGTTGGTCACTTCAGGTACTAGTGGCTGCTGAAGTAGAAGTTTACCCTTTGATAACTTATACTGCTTTAATGCTTCCTAGCATCATGAAGGTATTTTCCAAGCATTACAGTGACATCAGCTGAGATCTTGGCAATACAGAAGTGTTTCATATGCTTATTTCCTAGCTTACTTTCTTGTGTGTGTGTGTATTTTTGTTTTGTTTCGTTTTTCCTGATTTCTAATCCTTGTCTGCCCTTTGATTTTTGTGGCTTAACTTTTTGTTATTGTAGTATTATTTCTTAGGACTTTTCAGTACCTTTCTGACAACAAAGCATTTTCAAAATCTGAAAACATTTCCACCATGCACCTGATACCTCCTAATAAATTTATCCAAAACTACAGGTCACATTTGTCCAAAAGCTTAGCAAAAATCCCCTCAAAAGGAACATTAATTAACTCATTTTCTTTACATCTTCCTGAGTAAACTAGAATCTAGGAACTACAATACAGAAACCCTGTGCAATGATAAGCATATCTCAAATAGTTCTGATATAAAATACTGCACATAAATCACCAACTCTAATATTCCCCATTTCCAAAATAATGCATGTTTAGAAATACTTGCCCTTTACTACTACACTATTTTTTACCAAGAAGAAAACTGTGTACCAGCATGCCCAAAAAAGCATTAATTGTTAATTAATTTCAAGCAGTCTGTTCATGACTGATACAGCTGACTGAACACCTATTATCTCACTTGAAAGAGAAGGTGCTATTTTGCTCACCTCAGTCACCTGCAGGATCTTTGAAATGCCTCCTCTTCTGTTCCTTCAAATGACTGCATTCCACTCGAGCCCATTGAACACACAGTCATCAATAAGTTTTAGCAAAGTCATCCTATGTAACTGCAGCAGAAAATGACTCAGAGACGCTGCAGATGCTCTCTTTGAAAATGTTATTGTCTGGTGGTCTGTCATAGACAGGTCTCCAGTAGTAAACTGAACAACCTATCCTCCTGGCTCTTCTTTTTTTTTTTTTTTTTTTACTATTCAAGCTCAGTGCTTCAAATTCTGTAGGTATCACAAACTGTATTTCTCTATTGCCCTCTACTGACTGCTAACACCACCTTGCGGGATAATCAGCAAAGCAAGATATACTGTATTTTCTCACTGCCCTGCTTTAAATCAATAGTGACTTCTGGAAATGCCCCAAAACAAATCATTCTATTTTCTCCTTTGTTACAAAACACCAGGCAAGATTTACAGCTTGTTGGTCAGCCATGGTAACTACAGAACACTAAACAGCAGAAACAGGAAGCAGTTGGTAACGTGGGTTTGCAAATGTGCTTTTTGTGAGCAGAAGCCAGGAAAAAGTAGAGACAAATGCATTCCACCTTGAAACATGAGTGGATTTACTCCATTCATGCCATAAATTAAGTATTGTATGGTGCAGCTGAGTGTTAGTGGATTTTAAGGTTTTGGCTCAACCAGCATGGGATGCACAGAAATACTGACTTTTTTATAGGAGTTCTGCAGAATTGGACCTACAGAGAGCCACAAATTACAGGCCATGGATACCCGGTTATTTCCTGGTCTGCTGAGAGTTTTATTGGCTTAGCTCATTCAACACTACACATAACATAAGGTGAAACATAGTTCCTGCCTCGTGGGGCATTTATTCAAACTTGGACACTGACAAGAAACAAACACCATATACGAATGCCACTAGAAAGCAGTTTGCACTTCTTTTAAAACAAAGATAGTATATAAACAAAGAGAAATCAGTGAACTGGCAAAAAGGAGAGAATAGCACAGCCTAGTTTCAGAGTCATAGGAGAAAAAAGAAGTATTTCAAGGAGAAGAAAAATTAAAACCAAATACCTTGCTCTTCATTAATCACTAATTAATTAGTGCTGTGACCACTAGTATTTGTCAACCAAGTCACTCAGGCATATGTTCTTACCCTCAAAATGCACATATATACCCTGGTGCAAGTGTGCAGCTACAGCCAGCAGAGGATTCCCAAGAACACTTCTCTTTTGCTAGGCAGGTGCTGAAGGAAAATACAGCACTGTTTCGCCTTGCAAACCATTCTTCCTCTGCAACACAGTCCTTAGTGGGCAAAACACTTTCATGGTTTTAGTCACTAAGAGTGATAAAAACAGGTCCTCTCACCCACCAAAACAAACATTTTGGAGCATTGTTTGCTTATCTGCCTCCCAAAATGACTTTTCTCTCTTTACCCTCAACTGTCCCTACTGGTACAGAATGAGAGTATTTCATATGCCAAGCATTGGTTGGCTGATGAATACTAGTTGAGTTTTTAAACAGGTGTAGTGGGCAAACTACATTTATTTGAGGGATGTTACAAAAACACTATAAACAAAGCCAAAGATTCTCCAATGTGAGTATTCCTCTTTAATTTCATTGAAAAAAAAAAGCCTTTTTAATGAAAACCTAGATGGAGTTCTAATTGCAGTTACTACAAACATTAGCTTGCCCAAGATTTGTGCACTTTTACAGTAAAGGTGCTATTAAAGAAAGTCCTATTACTTCCATGCTTCTCATTAGCTAAAACACTTGGCAGCTCTGTGTTAGGAAATAAGAAGAAACTACATTCATGTAGCCCTGGTAGGCTATTGAAGCCCAGCCTGATGAATACGGCTCCAAAATGAGCACTGCTGCCAAAAGATAAAAGGAAAATAACAATTAGCAAAGGAATGGGGCCGAGAAAATAAAACACACATCAAACAGTGAAAAAAAAAATTGTTTTTGCTTTTTTAATAGGCGCACATTCGCAGAGTGATAAAGTACATGGTTGCTAAAAGTCTTAAAAAAGGCATTTAAACCGAGGAAAAGGTAGCTAGTGCTCAGCACTTGAATAGCGAGGAGCTTTCTGCAGCTAGTGCCTGAAATTCCTCAGGTGACGGCTTTTAACATTAATACATTTTTTCCCCTCTCCTGAAGTGTAAGTTTTCCTCCCCACAGGAAGAGGAAACACAGCCGCCCCCGCACGTGGGCATCGCTCTCCGCCTCTCAGCGCACCAAGCCTGCCGGGCGGCACGGGCATCCCAACAACTTCCCCCGTCCTCCCCCTTCCCCCCGCTAAAAGAATCCGCCCAGAGCGAGGCTCCCCTCGCTAACACTGGGGACGGCCGCCGGCACCCCCACCCTCCCCGCCGCCCGCG